GAATTTCACAACGTGGTGGTCAACAGGCAAAATCAAGTTTCTTGAGTTTCAGCAGGTGTTAGTTTATTCAAGATGATTTCCAATAACTCAACACAAATATAAGAAGGAAGCTCTATTTACAAATGCTTAGTTATCCAAGGGCATTCCAATTCCCCAGGCACTAAAAGAGACAGTATTTCGGTGGATCTGCCCTGCCGCTGGGGCTGCCACAACCCTTTTGTAAAGGGAGCACACATTCTGGAAGAAGACAAGGACCCAAACCTAGGCTGTGGGTGCCCTTCTGTATTCTGATGGTTTAAAAGAAAACATAACCAAGAACGGCCGAACTCACCCGGCAAAACTCAGTTGCCTCACAAGCAAGTGGAGAATTAATGACCAAGGGTGAAAGGTGACATGTCTCAAAAAGATCGTATCTTGATGGTGTCTCATCTTGACAAGATTTAAGAAAACAAAAATCCTTCCATATTGTGAATTGTCCACAACAAGAGCCTGGCTTACCTCCAAGGAACCCTAATAGAATCTCTGGGTAGGCAGAGCAAGTGGGCCTGGAGAAAGTATATTTAACCGCACAAGTATTTTTATTGAATTTTACTAATAATGTTCCTCCTGAAACTTTAAATATATGCAAAGGGAATATGAAAGTTTATCAAGCATGGGAGTAAAAGGCTGGTTAGGACTGAATAAGATCAGTTGTTGTTATTAGCTGTTGTTGAGTCAGCCCAAGGCACATTCATTGGTACCTGTACACAAAACATAGGGTCCCTTGCCACCCCAGTGATTGGTTGCAGATTAGATTCTTGTGATCCTTCAGATTTTCACTGGTTGATCACCAGACCTTTCTTCCCAACCTATCTTAGTCTGGACGTTCCACTGAAACCTGTTTAGCACCATGGCAACACACAGGACTCCAATGACAGGTGGACAGCGCCTGTGTGGGAGGCGCATTTCCAGGAGTCAAGAGAGGTCTCCCACATGGAAGACAAGAATGCTAGCCCTAAACGACCCAGGTCAATGCAACGTACAGTCATCACGTCAATGCTGACTCATAGTGGCCCTATAGGGCAGCGTAGAATTGCCCCCTGGGGGGTTCTGAGGCTGTAAATCTTTACGAGCATAAAAAGCCTCTTCTTTCTCCTGTGGAGTGGCTGGTGGTGTTGAACTGCTAACCTTGTGGTTAGTAGCCCACCGTTATGTCATCAGGGCTCCTTGTCCCCCAAATAAGATAACTGGGAGATCTTAAATATTGATAAGCTACAGCTCAAGAGTTCAAAGTTTGCAAAGGAACCTTAAAGATTTGCTGACCTTTAATTCATGAAGTAACTGAATTGGAACAAGAAAGTCACATAAAACCTGGGGCTCTGTTATAATTTGGGGGGAGAATGCCCCTTGGTGAAGGCTTTTATAGGAAAAATTCCTCAGGGTTTTTTGCTTTTGTTTTTATTTCTAACGTCTTAGGGCAGGGGAAGCATATTAA